TTCCGGCATCCGGCGTTAGATCACCGAGCACGAGTCGAGGACGGAGGATGGAGAGAGGCGGCAGGACGGGCGAGGGAAGCGGGGGGGGGGCTAAAGAGGAGCCTGGGGGGAGGGGGCAGGAGGGAGAAGGTGGGAAGGGTGGCCTGTCTCATCCATCCCTCCTCGGCCCCTTCTCCCCCACTCCCTGTAATTATCCTCCCCTCCTCGTCCTCATCCTCCGCGGTCCCCTCTACGTATTTGTGACTCTCTTTTCAATGCATCCTTTTCCTCCTGGCAGGCCTGGCCCGCCTCGGAAAAACGCTGAGCGACCATCTGCGCACGCGGTCGTATCGCTCATCCCATTGTTTCCTACTTGGGCTTGCCTCCCTAATCCTTACTGCCTGCTGTAGCACCTCCTACGGCACAAGCGACCTGGGCTGGTGTCCTTCGAGAGCGCCTCCCGCGAGTTGCCTCCCAAGCGTGGCCGCTCGCTCGCGGCGCACTTTGAGCTGCCAGCGCGGCTGCCAGGAATCTCGCTGCCCGCTCGCCTTCGCCAGCTATCGCGTGGCCAGCGCTTGTTTCCGGGAGCTCAAAACCGAGTGTGCCCGCTCGCTTGCTGCGACATCGGATCGCCAGCGCTGTTCCAAGAAGCTTGCTAGAAGGTTCAAGTTAAGCTTGCCCGCTCGCTCCCGACGGCCATCACGTTGCCAACGCTGTCGCCAGGAACGCAAGCCAAAAGGCCCACTCCGAGCGCGCCCGCTCACTCCCGGCGGACATGGCGCGGACAGCACTGCTGCCAAGGAGAAGCTCACTCTGAGCGCGACAGCTCGGCTTGCGGCGAGCATCGCGACGCCGACGTTGTTCCCTGACCAGGCTTGCCTACGTCTGTTCTCACTGTTTGCTTGAGCACCTCCCCCGAGTGCAGGTGCCATAGGGGGCGGCGCCCCTTTCCCATGGGCTTCCTGTGGGCCTCCCGAGCGGGACCGCTCGCTCGCGGCGCACATTGGGGTGCCAGCGTGGCTGCCAGGAAGCTCAGTCCAAGCGTGCCCGCACGCTCACGGCGGCCGTCGCGTGACCAGTCGCCCGCAAACTCGCTCCGATTGTTGCACGCATCGCGTGGCCAGGGCAATAGCCCCCAAACTTGCCAGCGCGCTTAATTTAAGCGTGTCCGGTTGCTCCGGCCATCGTGTTGCCAACGCTACTGCCAGGAAGTAGGCAGTGGGCCAAGAAGCCCACTCCCAGCGTGCCCTCCAACTTTCGACGCACATCCCATTACTGGCGGCGCTGCTTGCAAGGAAGCTCGCCAAGAAGCGTGCTTTCTGCATTGCGGCACTTCTGAAAGGGAGCGATCGGGAAGACTGGTTCATGGGGGGAAACATCGACCTGGAATCGGCGGCACATCGCATACAGATCCTCAGTAGGTCTCCCACAGCGAAACCGCACGTTCCTGGTCGCGGTGGGATATCGGGCCCCTATCGGCGATCCATCTGCGATTGGATCTCCATGCATCCCCCACTCAAGCGATCCTTCCCAGTGGTTCTCGCCTTAGTGGGCCCCGGAAGCGGCAGGGCCGTTTTTTCACCGTTTCCCAAAACATGCCCCTTGAAAGCGGAAACGGCAAAAAAAGCGGCCGGCAACGGCAACAAAAACGGCTCCAGGATTGGAACCGGAGCGGGAATCCGCAAAAGAACGGCAAGACGGAACCGGTAAAACCACGGCGTCGGAACCGGCAACAAAAACAGCAAAGCGGAAGCGGTAACACAAACAGCCCTGTCGTTTCCAGGGCCCACCAACGGGGGGGAGGGGAGGGGACATGCCTCAGCCCACATGGGATCATCGGCAGTGCGCCGCACGACCGCACGACCATGCGTCCCCCACTCAGGCGATCCTTCCCAGTGGTTCTCGCCGTCCAGTCTTCGGATCGCAGCTCGGGCATCTGGCGGCCGCTCGGGGCGAGCCAGGCACCGCTGGAGCGTCCCCGGCGAGGCGCAGGCACCGGAAGGCACCGCGCGGATGTGCAAGCCGACGACGGCCGATGACAACGCAAGAGCACGGCGGCCTTCGAACCCGAAGCGTTCCCCCGTCGATGCACTGAGCATCGTTTTGCCGTCGTCGTGGTCGTCGCAACGGTGGCCGTGCTCATGAGCTCCCTCTCGCCGCTCTGGGAGCGACGGGCCCGATCGGCTTCGCACCGACGGGCCCGCGGCCCCCCGAGGAGAACCGTGGGCCAGCTGGGCTTGCACCAGCTGCCCCGCCGCATGCCGAGGGAAGCAGCGGGCCGTTGTCCCGGGCTCTCACCGAATGCGCCGCCGTCCTCGCAGGGAGCTTCCTCCCTCAGGGCGGCGCGGCGACTTCGGCGCAGATCCGCGCCGAGGCCAATCGGATGCCCGCGGGCCCGGCGCGACCACGTGCGCCGTCGGCGGCGGCGCTCTCCGCGCACAGGCGCAGCGCAGAGGCGCAGAGCCTCGTCGCGAAGGCCGGTCGTCGTCGTCCTCCTCTTCGGCGGCGAACGAGGGGGGGAGGTGAGAGGGAGAAGGCCTCCTCAGGAGGTGCGGAAGCCCCCCGGCCTTCTGAGAAGGCCTTCCCCGGAAGACGGAGCAGCCTTCCCAGAAGGCGCGAGGGCTGCTGAGAAGTCCCGCCGCCTCCTGAGAAGGCCTTTTCCTTCTCATTTCCCCCCCTCGCTCGCCGCCGGTCCCCCTCCTCGTCGCGGTCGTCCTTAATTCCTCGTCGTCGCCGTCGTCCTCCTCCTCCCACTCTTTTGGCGGAGCCGCAGAGTCAGCGAACACCCACACATATACAGCCTGAGGCGATGTGGCCAACAACTTAAATGTCATCAGTACGCAACGAGGAGCAATGTATGTAATCGAAAGCCCGCGAGGGACCGCCTCGAGCGCATCCAAGCATTGCCGCTTGATCGAACTTTTTCGTTGCTCGACGTGGATGACTCGGTCCTGAGTGGGAAGAGGGGACAGAAAAAAAGGATGGGTCATACAAGCTCCCCATGATATGGGAGGGCGCCAATCAGATATCCATGCCGATACAGGCGAAATCCATCCTGGGCCGAGGATCGACGTTTTCACCCTCTTGGCTTGGCCAGAGAACGTGTACACCAATCTTGGGCCCAGGATAGGCCTGGCTTGGATCGGTGCTGGTGCCCCCCAGTTGAACAAAAAAACTTGACGCGTGCGCTCACTCTCGCCTCGGAGGGGCGTGCTTGCAGCTGAAGGATCAACAGGCCGGCCAGGCACTCTCGTCCAGCCCACTGCTTGATGCTACGCAGTGAACATGTCTTTAGTCACCAGGACCCCCTCCCCTCCCCATCCACCCTCTCCCTCTCTATTCCACGCCCCCTCCACGTCGTTGTCGACCCCCCCTTCCCCTCCTCCGCCTTCCTGTGGTCTTCCTGCTACTCGCGCTCCTATTCCTGCTCCGGTTCCTGCTGGTGCTGAAGCGGCTGCTGCTGTTGCTACTGCTGCTGCTGCTGCTCCTCCTCCTCCTCCTCATCATCATCATCATGGCACGAGCGCGCGCTGAACACTCTGTTCGGCGCCGCCTCTGCGCGGCGCCAGCCTTGAACGGGCAATTTTTGCGGCGGCGACTGTGTGGCCAGAGTGTCCCGCTGCAGGGGTCGTTTGGCCCTCCGCGCCAGGGCGCCCAACTCCGCAAAAGAAAATGCCCTGGCACGCAAACGCCAACACTGATTTCGCCCCTCAGCCGCCCCGAAGGCACTTCCAAAGTGCCTTCGGCGCGCGCGACCGTGCGCGGCGCTGTTCGGCGCCGCGTTTGAGCGGCGCCAACCTTGAACGGGCAATTTTCGCGGCGGCGACCGCGTGGCCAGGGTGTCCCGCTGCAGGGGTCGTTCGGCTGTCCGCGCCAGGGCGCCCAACCCCGCAAAAGAAAATGCCCTGGTACGCAAACACCGATATTTTTTGTCGCCCCTGCGCCGCCCCGAAGGCACTTCCAAAGTGTCTTCGGCGCGACGTGGGCGCCCATGTCGCCCATGTCGCCCACGTCGCCCGCCCACGTCGCCCATGTCGCCAATGTCGCCCATGGCGCGAGCGCGCGCCGAACACTCTGTTCGGCGCCGCCTCTGCGCGGCGCCAGCCTTGAACGGGCAGTTTTTGCGGCGGCGACTGCACCATCACCATTTCACATCCTCCTCCTGCTCCTGCGCCACACCCTCCTCCAGTGCAAACAGCTCCCCTGTTTCCAACTGCGCACCACACGACGGGGCTCGTTTTGGAGTTCAAGGTCAGCTATGACACGCATCGCCCGACAGAGAGACATGCTCAGCACAGTGAAGCTGGCTGGGTGGGAGGGCGAGGGTGCCAGATGTGGCGCACGCCTGCGTAGCTTCACCCTCTCCCTCGCGGCCCAATCCGCATCACCGTTCCCGCCCGCTCTCCCACAACCCCACCCCTCCTGACCCCTCCTCCCCCCTCGCCTCCCCTTTGCGGGGGTGGACAAGAATCCCTGCAGCAAAGCACCCTTCAGAGGAAACGGCCTGGGACCACACCTGGCAGGCCCAGGCCCGCAAACCACTGGCGGGCGCAAGACCACTCGCTGGTCGGCCTGGTCAGGCGGGGGTCCTATCAGCCTCCGACCCGCCTCCCCCTCGGCACTCCCCCCCTCTCTCCGCATAGCCCCCCCACCCCGCCCTGCGGCACGCCCCGCTCCCTTCTGGGAGACGTAAGACTCGCGTGCGGGGGACTCGGGTTGGCCTGACGGGGGCCATCATAAAAATGAGAAGACCCAATCTGAAATCTGGGGCGGGCTCCCGCCTCAGACATCCCACGACAACGGGATCGTCAAAATCCAGGACGCGCTCGTCAAGAGAAAGTCGGCACACCCGAGTTCCGGCTTACTCGAGTCTTACGTTTCCCCGATCCCTCCCACCATCGTCCTACTTGTTGCCAGCGCCGCACCGGCTTCCACTCTTCCTCTGATACCAGACAGCGGTCGGCGATACAGGCTCGCCGCGGCGGCGGACAGTGGGAGCCCGTGCCCGCTCAGGAGGTGCCTCACCAGCTCCCCGGGAGGTTCGGCTTGTCGACGCCGTTCGCCTTGCCCCGCCACGCCGCTCCGAGCCCCCGCCCTCTTCACCGAAGTTCCGAAGGATCGCGAAGGCAGGAACGTGATGCCATCCGGTCGAGATGAGCACGGCGTTGCGTAATGGGGGGGCGATCAATGGGGGGCGAAGAAAGGCGCAGAGTTGGTAGACCTCTTCAGGCCCCAAGGGCCCAAGGGGGCCCTTTGCCTTGAGGGCCCCTTCCCTGTAACCCTCCTTGGCCCCCGTTTACCGCTGCCCCCCGCTACGAAACGCCCAGATAAGTCGGGGATCTCTGAGATTTGTCGACTCCGGGGGATGCATCGGGCGCCGTGGCCGCTCCGGAGCGATCCCAAGCGCTCCGGCACGCTCTCAGAGCGATTTATACCGTCCCTGGGCCTGGGGACTTCGGTGGAGCTCCCTATGGGGCCACGAAGCGTGTGAGGGGTGTGCCGAAATGGACGTGCGGTGGGCGGGGAGGACGCATGCGGACGCGGCCACTGGGGCCTTCGGTGGAGCTCCCTATGGGACCACGTACCGTGTGAGGGGTATGCCAGAATGGACATGCGGTGGGCGGGGAGGGCGCATGCGGACGCGGCCACTAGGACATACGGTGGAGCTCCCCATGGGGCCACGAACCGTGTGAGGGATGTGCCGACATGGACATGCGGAGGGCAGAGGCAAGGAGGGGGGCAGGGAGGAGGGGGAGGAGAACGAGAAGGAGGAGAGGAGGAAGGAAGGACGAGGAACGCGGGGCGCTGTCTCTTCAAAACGAGGACCCAACACAGGATGGCGGGGAGAAACCACGTCATGACGCGCTGGGCAGGCCCCCCAGTGCGGCCAGAGTCTGGCCATAGGGAGCCTCACTGGCGGACCTTCGGCCACTGGAGACCTCCACGGGAGTCCAGGGCCCTGAAGCCCGAAAGTTCGATTTGGACGTGGTCTGACGTCTAGCCTCAGCTCCCTTGGAAGACAGGTGGCCCCGACCAGGGGACAACATGGCTTGCCGCAGGCAGCTAGATACCTGCCCAGCGGGTCTCGAAGACTCACGGTAGAGCACTGGCAAAAGCAACACGAACCTTCCCAGATAGAGCCATCTTGGAACCGTCTCGATGCTGATTGATCATCTAACCCACCTGCAGCTTAGGGGTGGAGCCGAAGACGTCGTACAAACAACAACGATACCATCTTAAGTTATGGGGACATAGCAATTGAGTGTGGCGCGAAGCAGTCCACACCGCTCCGAAAGCAGAAGCGAAAAACAGAAGCGTATATGTTGGATAGGATGAGGGTCTAAAGGCACACGAGGGAAGACCACGTTAACCCTTCTAATCGAAAAGCATGGGCTTGTTGATTGCTCCCGCCGTCTCCTCTTCCATTCCCGAAACACTTGAGCGTCGGAGTCGTAGAAACATCAGTTGGTTGTGTTGCTCTGTTTCGCCTCGGAAACCAGCCTTGTTGTTGGTTGGGCTTGGAGCCTTGAGGAGCATAAATCGTTGGACCCATCAACCGGGGAATCATAACGGGCGAGGTTAGGACCAAGGATACGTGAGCAGGGAAGCTGAAGGCCAAGATGACCCGCCACTGGTCCTCGACAGCACAGGGGGGGTAGATGTCTCGACATGGAGATTTCGACCGGACGGGTGGGAGAGACCACATCAAGGACTGCCAAAGATAGAAATAAAGCAATCCAACTGGTCTGAACGGAGGAACAATCCCAAGCGATCCCCGCCCCCAATGGATCCCCCCGATTGGTAAGATTTCCCGCCGGGTCTGAGGTCTGTACCAGCGCCCATCGCGCGACCCCGCGACTCGGAGCGCGCCCCCCATCATCTGCCAACCGCTTTCCGAAGTGCGGCCTGGCACCCACAGATCGATTCCTTTTTGAGCGCGGTCCACGCTCCTCGTGCCTCGCACGCGCTTCGGCATCTCCTGGGTTTTGGGTAAAAAGCTTGGTTGGGTCCCTGGTACCCATGTGCGTTTGTGTGGAACCCAGTCGGAGGATCACGAAACCGGGGTTCAAATGGATAGGACCTAACGCCCAGGGCAAGTACTTGGTGATGGCGTGTTTTTGTGAGGGGCTCTGGACGGAAGATAGGGCACAATAGTCAGGGTACATCACGCCAGGCCTCTGCTCGCTCTGCCAGGCACCCGAATCTGTAGGACACAGGCTCTTCGGCTGCCAGCACGAGGAGGTTGTCGCGGCGCAGCAGGCGTCGGACGTGCCGGCGAGCTTTCTCGAGCGCGCCCAGGACGGGGACGCGCAGTTGTTCAAGGCGCTCAAGTTTAAGCATCCAGCGGCCGACTGGCCCAAGTTGTCGGATAAGCATGAGCCTGAATTGCACGACATAAGAGGTCGAAAGATTCCGTGGGAGCAATTGGATGGGGCCACATTGTGCCAAGCAGGAGACGGCTCATGTATGAGGCACAATATCCGTGGGCTGTCGAGAGCAGCGTATTCGTGGATGTTCTTCGATGCGGAAGGGGGCAGAGATACAGAACCAAAGGAGTTGTTTGGCCGAGCCTGCCCCAAACTAGCCAAGCAACTGAACCATTGCAACTGGCGTTCCTTCCGATATATGTCCCTAGCAATGGACCTACACTGTACAGCGATTGTATGAATGCGGTGCAGCTGCATGACATGATACAGTCCAACCAGATGTCAGACTAAACAACGTTATGGGGGTTTGAGAAGAGGGGCCGTGCTCCACATGCGGGATAACGAGTATGCACCAGCTGTTGACACCCCAGCCACTAGGAAGCTAGAAGGTACTGAGCAGCTGCCCCCGCCCGAGAGGTGGATTGGCCAGGCCAACTGGCGAGCGGATCGAGAGGCCAAACGAGCGCTCGGCCTGCATCCCCAGGCTTCGGCCGCCGAGTGGCAGCAGCTAGACAGTTCGATCGAGAGCCTCGAGACGGTGGCGCGCCTCGTGGCGAACGTTTTGCCGTGCTTTCCGAGGGTGCGCCACCAACCCCCACCGAGGCGTGGGCGTCCGCGTAAGGTGATCGAGAAAACCACGAGCTGGCACAACTAGCCTTGGCTGTGGGGCTCCAGGTGTGCCAAGTGTTTGAAGTTTTACGGGGGGGACCTCCAGACTCGGCCAGAAGTCGGATGCCAGGGGCTCTCCCGAAGTTTAACCAAGCTCCTAGCAGATGCCCCCGACGATGGACATGATCTGGGTGCTAACCACAAGAAAAATGCGTACTTTGGCAACGAAGTGTGATCCTAAGGAGCACAGTGGAGGGGCCAATGCGTTGAGCAGGTTGAAGCGAGGCCTACACCCCCAAAGCAATGTAGCTGTGTCCTGTGCCGCGCCAGAGAAGCCAGCCTCAGGTCCAAATGTCCGTACCTTTGCTGGCGCTTCGCGGGTGCACCTTATCCCGACGAGTGCGGCTCCCCTCGAATGCCTGGCTGCCATCCGCGCTCGGATTGCCGAGCGAGAGACGGGAGGGCGGGTGGAGTCGGGAGCGGGGGGTGGTGCTGAGCATTCAGAAGCTCCAGTGGTGCGGCCAGCGAGACCAGCGCCAGTGGAGCCAGCGATGCATGATGATTTTGATGCGGAAGATGAGGCCTCCCTTGTTTCCCTCCCTTTTGAAAGCGAGCAGGTCAGACGTCCCGTGCCCGCTGCGAGCTCCTCTGATGTTTTGTGATGCGTGTCGTCGGCCCTCCGGGAAGAGGAGGACGATGCGCCGTTGGTCCCGATACCTCGCCATGACGAGGATTCTGGATCAGACTGACGCTGGGGGGAGAGCTGGTGGGCCACTGGGTTGCCTCCTCGCTCGTGAGGAGGCGATCCTGCCACCTCGCACCTCTCCTCCGCGGACAGCGATAGGTTTTCGGGCCGCTAGTGTGGCCGAGGCCTGGAGCCCAACCAAAAAAAAACCCTTTCTCCCCCCAAGCCCCCTCCCCGGGGAACTCGCTTAGTCCGTCCAGTTTGGATGGGAGGGGGGGGGAAGTGCCCGCGGTGCCGGCGGCCCTGGCTGTCCAAAACCTGCTCTCAAGCGGGCTCCGACGGTTTCAGCGTGGCTTCGGCAGCCTCCAAATAGCTGCCTGGCCATGCTCCCCGCGGGGCCCCAGACGGCCCCCAGAAGTCCCAACAATGGTCTCAGCACAGCTCTGGAAACCTCGAAGACGTCCTTTGACAACTTCAGGACGACCCTGACAAAGCCCCGACAAACAAAACTTAGAGCTCACTCCATCAGCACAAGTAGCAGTTCCTTCTCCGATAGTTCTCATAGACAACCAGGCTCTCGTTTCCAGGGCATGCAAAGCGACGCTACTAGTTGCATCCGCGAGGAGAGACTGCCTCAGAGCCCTTCAAGATTTGCGATACCTCTCGTAGAACACACCCAGCTCGCGCGTCTAGGGTTCTGCACAGCGAAGCTACTAGTTGCATCTGCGAGTGAAGACTGGCTCGGAGCCCTTCAAGATTTGCGATAGCTCTCGTAGAACACACATCAAGCTCGCGCGTCTAGGGTTTTGCAGAGCGAAGCTACTGGTTGCATCTGCGTGTGAAGACTGCCCTGGAGGCCTTCCAGGATCAAACAGGCAAGGGCCCAGGGGCCCCGGAAAAGGCCCCAAAGCCGGCCCCCCGACGGCCTCAAGGGCGGCCCACGGGGCGCCCAGGACAGCGCAAGAGGACCCCCAACACAACACCCCACGACGACCCACTATGAGGGGCCCGCGAGACCCCCGGAAATAGGAAAACGAAAAGTGGCATAAACATAACAACTCGGAGGTCCGCGCAGACTTCTCGGATCGGCGCTGGGGCCCCCTGGCGGCGCGCCCGGCGCAGATCCGAGAAATCCGCGCGGACCTCAGAGTTTTTCCCTACCTAGGCTCTGCCTAGAAGGGTTCTTACTCTCTAGCTTAAAGGGGCCGGGCAGTGCTACACGCCCCGGGCGGTTCCCCCAGTCCCCGCCCCGCAGTTTCCCCAGTCGCGCCCCCTTAGCTTGGCTTAGCTTATCTCGTCTTAGCTTAGCTTGGCTTAGCTTAGCTTGGCTTAGCTTAGCTTA